GTGCTACATTTGCTCCACCATCCTTTTAAAGCCTAAACCAGAGATTGGAGGGTATTTCGGTACTCCCGTCTTTTGACAGCTCTGATTGAACTTAAAGGTGAAATTACTTTTCCCTGTACCTCCTTAGCTCTGTTCATATAAATGCGTTCCAAATGGGACGATCAGTTCTGAAGAAGGCAGCCAAGGCATTTGGGGATTTCTGTCTCTGCAAAAGTCTGTCTTTTCACCATTTTTATTTGATAAACGCGGGTTTCACCTTACCCGGTCTGCTACGGGACTATGGTTTCCAAATTGCGAAGGGTGCGATTGGTTGTAAAGAGGATTTCCTTTTCCACTTTCAAAAAATGTAGCTCTCTCTCTCTCTCTGTGTTTCTGCCATGTTTGTGCTTTTAGCTGGCATCATGAGCCGTCGCTTTGTTTCTGAGGCAAAGATTTGGGTTGCCATAGAGAAAGAGGAATGTTGATTTGAAGAAATTCTTAGTCTCACTCATAGAAGGGCCTTCCAGAGCCAAAACAAAAAGGAGGATTTTTTTCCACAATTCATATGGCCCGGCCATAAATTTCCCATGGGTCAGTGAGATGCTATGGTTTAGGTCACCTCAAGGTTTTTTTCTTTGCTGGATTTTTACATTATGTACTTATAAGTTCTCTGTGTTCATGGGGAATGTAAATATTCTATATTCCTTAGATTCATGCAAAGTTGTGTGTCATAATTTGAGAAGGAAAAATAAGGCTATTAACATAAACATGGGATTGTTATTAGGAGAATTCTATCGAATTCTGGTGGGCAAGTACTACCACTAACATTTTCTGGAAAAAAATTTGAAGAACTCTAGAAGTGCTTATAAGTCTTTCAAATACTCTTCCACATTAGTACTTAAAGTAACAGTCAATTCTTATTAAGAATTACCAAATACTAAATATAGCTAATTCCCAGAAATGCCTCTGCAGAAGCACGGATAGACAGATGGGTTCTGGACTGACTGCGTCTCCCCATCTGAGCTAGGGAAGTATATGGTTTACTGTAATCAGAGATTCTAGGATATTCCAGACTGGTTCCCTTAGGAGCAGTGGGCTGGTTCTGGCTTCGAATATTAGCATGTATTTAAACTTGTCTCATTTGTATCCACTTTTGATAACCTTAAAAAATAGCTACACTAAAAGGGGGGGGGGATTGTTACATTGTCAAGGGAAAAAAGTTAAATATTTAGGATTCCATGAAAACAACATGGTGCTTCCCTGGGTTTTCTCATTTTTATTGTATTCTTAAGACACATGTAAGTCTGTCTGAATGTCACAAATGTATATGTTATATTGATCACAAAACTGTTAAGAAATTATGAGTAATGAGCAGAGTTAAAATAGAAGCACGGACCCAAAATACTGGTGGCCAAAAAGCGATCCTTTCTCAAAAATTTAAAATGTGGGAAGGGAAGTACATAGTCAGAAAAACAGATGGATATCTATTCCACAACACTCCGTGGTCTTTAAAATACCCTTTCAAAATGAATGCAGGCTGGAGGGACTTTGTAGAGCGGTCCCGAGGTATATTAGCATGTTGCTGCCACTCCTCACCACTTGGGGCAATAGAGTGCAGATTCAGGACCGATCTCTTTTCAAGGTTTGTGCCCTTGGAGTTCTAACAGCGGAGTGGGGGGAAGGCAAAAGATAGTCTCCTAAGATAATTTCCTTGAGTATCCTTAGAGAACATAAACACTCGCCTAAAGGACAAAATGAGGGTGCTGATTTTAACCAACTTAGGCCATCTATTCCATCAGAGTAATTCAAGAAAGTGCCAGTCAAAATTGCAATTGTTTCTTCTTTTTTACTTATTTGTGATATTAAGAAATGATCTTTGAGTTTGGGTTTCCTGATCTGAAAAATGAAGCTGAATGGTTAGTAGGATTGTTTTTACATGACTGGAACACTTGAGAATTAATCAATCCGTGTGAGCTATCTCGGCTCTCTGACAAGAGAGTGGTAAGGTTGATGATGGCACCTATATGTAACAGAAGAAATGTATCTGTGGAAATGTGGTTTCCTCCATGGATTTCCTGAGAGGGACAAGATTTTAATCTCCGTCTTGGCTAACTCTGATTTTAGAGATAATGAAGCTGAGGTGCATATCCAAAGTTACACTGTCAACGCCCACACCAGAAAGACACAAAGATGCCCTCATGAACAGCTATGAGTGCTACTTTTTCATCTATTAACCAAATACACTTAAAATAAATGAATTCAAATACTGTAACTAGTCATCTTTCCTCAAAACTGGTTCCTCTCCAGAGAGTGAATCACTCTCCAGATTCACATGGAGATGATTCCTGTTAAGATAACCTTAGAAAAATTCTAGAAGTCACCATCATCTTAATAAAGTCTATGATAAATCTTGGCCTGAGCATGTGAACAGTATAGAGACCCGGGAAATCAGAGAAGAGGGTGAGGAGTGTGGCTCTCTTAAAGGCTGTAGAGGAAAAGAAAAGATATATTGGGAGGGGTTGATAAAAACAAGAACATTGCTGGCTGGCACACCCAGAAACACGACTCCTTGAAACGTAGACACCTGTGGCATTAATGGAGCCACATAATTCTAGCAACAGCCCGATGTGCATAGTTGTCAAAGTTATGATGTGAGTCAAATTAAAGGACTTAAAAGTAGTAGAATTATAATGATGACAAGGAACAGGTTCTATATGGACTTTCAAAGTAGATTGTTTGGTATCAAAGAACAATCTGATTTTTAAAGTCGTAGTCACATTTTAACATAAGAGATCAATGAAATTAGACCAACTGGTTGTACCAAGCCTTGGACGCCATGATGGAAAAGTCAAACTTTGACTCAACTTAAACATACTAGAATGATTTAAACATGTAGAAAGAGCACAATGGAATATATTTTACAAAACATTTTTCTCTGAAGATAAGAACAGGTGATCATATAATATTTTCTTATTTATAACTGTGCTATGAACTGTAAAGGGTGCTATGATGTTCTGTGAGGACAAGAGCATCTGTCCTGGTATGTGCTTTGAAATACAGCATTTTCCATTTTTTTAAATTACATTTTTATAATCTTTTGAGTGACTAACAGGAGCATTTTCACTATCATGTGGCTTGAACATATAATCTTTGGCAAGAAATTTTACTCCTGGAAATGTGCTTTAAATGATCCAAAGCAAGGAAATAACTCTTTGTATAAAAATATTTATAGCACTTTTGCTCAAGATAGTGAAAAAAGGCTAGACCAACCTCCACTTCTAAAGCAAAAAAGAGGAATGGTTAAGAAATCTAAAAAATATATCCACACTTATGTGAAGGAACATTATTCTGCAGTGATTTAAAATGCAAAAGAAGACTGGAAAAGTATTATAAAATATTAATAGCAGTCAATATACATATATCTTATTCCTGCATGAGCTATTTATGCGTGATTGGACAAGAATTTAAAAAATTTAATAGGGTATAAGCTTATGGTTGACTTGTATTTATTTTACATATATTTATTTTTATTCATTTCTTATTTATATATAACATAGAATTATTCAATATATTTCCATTGAATTAAATGGACAACAAGGCTAGAAAATAGTTCAGTCTTCATAAGTCTTAAAATCGTGTATCTTATTTCAATAATAGATACATTGTCAGTAACTTATATTGACTTAAAGTATTGTACTCTTAAGTCATGCATGTGTTCAATAATTCTTATCCACTCTTTAGTCTGAAGTTTATATATTCCATGCACAGACTGTTGAGTGAAGTTTCTAAGAATAGTGTGAGTAAACTTCCAATAGATTGACGGCTACAAGTTTTAGTAACATAAATATTTAGTCTTATGCTAGAGAGTTTGGATGGGAAGGGAGTGAATAAAGAATTTAGGAAGGAGAGCAGATTATAGACTCAGACTGAAAGAAACCTCAGATTTCCTCATGCATTCTTGAACCAGGGGGATTTCTATGGACAATTTGCAGAGGAAAATTCCCAGCCTGTCAGTAATCCATTCAGAATTCTGGGACCCAGGAATTGGCCCTGGTGTCTACGGACATGGACTTACTAACTAATTCAATAGTCATCAAGAAGAGGATGATTTTGAAATGTGTTATGAAATAATTGTAATGCTTTTCTTTTCCTGAAATAGTAACATTTAGGTAGTCGGTATAAACAATGTCGAGTTTACATATTCAACAAACATATTAACTTTCATTTGTTGCAATATTTATGTGGATATATGGGATGCTAAGGTTTGTCATTTCCAATATTATAAGTATCTATTACAGATACTGGTCTTGATGCTTAGTTTAAAAAGAAAGGAAACTCTTTTGAGAGTTCAGTGCACTGGAAATTTCTACCAGTATTTCTCTTCTAAGGTAAAATGTTACATGTTACCTGGATATTGTTTGTTACATTCTATTTAAAGTTCTCTGTTTTCTCTTTTTAAAAATGCATGTGCTCTCTCCACATTGAGAACAGAGAGTGTTAATTCCAATGTAGCATGGGATGTCTGCCTATCTATATTTTCATCCGTACTGTACGTGAAAATGTCGTCTGTGAAGGAAAAGTAGAATGAATGTGGATACTTTGCTGTTAGACTAAATGTGGCCTATTTTCTGCTTGTTTGAGAAAACGCTGAGGAATAAGGTTGTATGAAGGTGTCCAGACTTCCCATTCTGGTGGTTTGGTGTCTATGTTCTTGCCATATTCCTGGCCTTTGAAAAATCAATGGGACTAAACCCTGACTTTTCCTTAATGCTTGAGCAGACTAGATTGTAGATATATTCAAAACATTTGAACCTTGGTTATTTTGATTTAATGCAAAGCATCCTTCAAAATATTTGAATTATTAATCCTGCAGAACCCCTTTATTTGTTTTTTTTCCTTCCTCTTGGTTTTCTACAATAGGAAATATTAAATGTCAAGAAAAGTACCATGCCATTATCCAAATTATTTTTTACTTAGTACCAGTTTAAACACTGATTACATTGAAAATCATTTCATTTCAGCCACAGCGTCCTGTGTTTACTCATGAAAACATTCAAGGTGGGGGGGAACCGTAAGTATTCTTCTTATCTTCTAAGTTCGAGACTGACCTTGACCCACAAAATAGAGAATCAATGTACTAAAACAGAGGTCTGTTCAGCTTTGCAAATGAGAGAGAACAACCTAACACGAGGCTCTTTGATGAAGAGAAATTACAACGCTCTCCATCTTTCATAACAGAGAGCAGAAGTTCATTTTGAAAAGAAACCTGTGATTTTGGGTAGAAGACTGATTTACACACCCAGAAAAGCCTTCCAATGTTCCAGTGATGCCCAAGACTTATCAATCTGCCTCCCTCTCTGTTCTAGTCAGCATGTGAATTCTAGTTACCACAGCTTGAAAGACACAGAAATGTCCTAACATTGTCTGTACACATATTCGAAGACTAGAAGAATGCCAAAGTAGACCAGAAGTGATAACTTAGTAATGCAATTCCAGAGTTCCATTCTTACACAGGTCTTTGGAAATGGCAGTGTGTTAAGACCTTCAATGTCATTCAGCTTAATGCCTTTCCACACTTTCAAACTCCCTCTCCTTTCTGACCTATAAGTCAATTTAAATTGAAGGTGTCACACATTGTCTTTAAGATTCTCTTTCTGTGTGTGTCTCTTTCCATTCCGTTTTGCCCATCACAGATGTTCAGAGGCTATCTAGTTCCTACTGCCTACTGCCTAGTCTGTAAGTCAGGAGTTAGACCCCTGGGAAGGAGCAAGGAGGGAACTAAACCTTGTCAGGCAGACCCAAGCCCCAGCAGAACCTCCCTCTGGCCCACTGCCCATGTTCTGCTCAGCCAGGGCCTAACCAGTCAGCAAGGCCTGCTGTGGGGCCTGGTGCCTTCTCACCACGGACTCCCTCCTCACTGCTTGGAGACCTGGCCCTGAGCTAACAGCAATGCTCTCAGAAACCATCTCTCACCTCTTACCAAGTGCATCCAGAAAGCGCTCCTCCTTAGGGAAAAGCTTAGGCAAAGAACAGGCTGGAAGTAAGAATCCCTTAAAGTTTCATTTACCTGGGGAAGAAAAAAATCCAATAAGACTTGTAATTCTCAAGTTTGGGCTTGTTTCCTTATTCAAGCAGATGATAGGAACACATCACAAAAAAGTACATTCCAAGCCTGTCCAGGTCTGTTGCATTACCAACACATTGTATTAAGCAGCTTTAAGGAGCATATGAATTGATAGGTATATTGTGTTTTACCGTTTCATGTCCTATAAAGTTAATACTTCCATGTGTGGCCATTTGGGTATCTACCAAACCACAGAGCTCACAGGTGGGAAAAGGCGTGTTTTCAAGGCCCTGCTATGGACATTAGAAAACATTCTGTACTAAATTTCCATCTGATGAGTGGATTATAGGGTGTCACTAAATCCCTTTCATGTAAAAACTGGATTGGAGTACAAATAGGAACATCGTGTTATAAGGTTGCCGCAATTCAGAATTAGGATAAAATATGTTCTCGGAAAAGTTGCAAGTTTATAGAGAGAGCTTTGAGCTTGGCTGAGCATTTCTTATTTAAAAGACAAATTTCTTTTTGAAGGATCTTGTTGCCACCACCATCATTCATCTCACCAACACATCATTCAAAACATTTTAATTGTAATTTAGCTCCATTTCCTGTCGTGCAACACTGATTCTGAAAGCCAACAGAGGCAGGGGGGTTTCCGGAAGATTTGTTTATGTTTCCATGAAACTCCATTTTTTTTCTTTTTTTTGTGGCCTAATTAAACCCGAATGGTAAGTAAATTTTGACAAGCACACTGGCTTTTGTCATACCAAAGTGAAGTAGGAGTTTGTGCCAGTTTGGGGATTTTTTTTTTTTTTTAAGCTCTTGGAACCTTGAGATTCTTCCAGCATCTGGGGTTCAATGGCCTTAAAGAGGCTTTTCTCCATATGAGGTTGGACAAGCGCCTGAGGGAGGGAAGGCCTGGAAAGCCCAGTCAGAGAATCGGTGTTTCCAGAAGTGAGAGCTTTAATGTACATCCATTGAATTAACAGCCCAGGAATCACTGTCTCCCTCATTGGAAAAGGGACCAAGTTGAAATCAACTTCCCCATATGAATATACAAAAGCTACCCCCCCCTTCACCTAAGCAGCCTCAAAATCAAATCCTTAAGGCAAACAACAAAAAAATTTGTCTACTCCAACCCTGGCTGGCCCTATTGCAAACATCCAAATTAAGCAGTATTGGTATTTAACCCCTCCCTGTCTTCTTATTTTATTTTTTCCTTTAACCACGGCTCTGGGAATCTGGCTACTTTTCTCTGTCCTTCACCATAGTCAGAATCCTTTCCCAACAGAAGACATCAGATGCCCAGATTCAAAAGCATATAAATGGCAGAAAAGATTTTCTAGGAAGACAAATATTAAAGGAAAGAAATCTCTAATGTAGTGATTTCCGGGTTTGGTGCCAGCCAGGGTAGATAATGTATTCTAGGAGACGATGTTCTCTCCCAGGCAACTACCCCCACGCCCAACCCCTGCCAGAAGCCAACTTTATCTGGGTCCCCCAATCTGAAAAAGTTCATGGACAGAGAGGGAAGCACGTGGAGACATGTCCCAGATTTATGACATGCTTGAGTTCAAATGATAGGAAAATTTTGTTCCACCAAAATGTGATTTTCTGACTGAATGAAGTAATTAGAAATAAATCATTCTCGTCCCAGCAGTATTCAACATTATCTACTTTCTAAAGTTGACTTAAAAAAAAAATTCAGAATACCCTGAAATGTGGTTCTTATTACCATATATTGGCAGAATTACATAACTGTTAGAAGAAACAGCAAAAACAAATTCACTGATTTTTTTTTTTTTAAATCCCCCTCATGATACTGGTAATATTTTAGTGGTAATATGAAGTTTTCATGTACCTGCATATCAAATGCTTCCTGAGCTGCACAGCTGCTAGAATTTGTGTTTTTACTTTCCAAAATGCCAGTCTCCATTAATATGCATTAAAATACATACTATTTTGTTACCACAAATTCCATTTTACTGATCAGTGTCACCAAAATAAAGGCTCTCGACGAATTCACGCAGAGAAACAAAAGTGGTAGCATCCTATCAGTAATTCCTTTTCATGTAAAATTATTTCCAGGGAGAGTTTCCACATCAAACACAATTTCTCCAGGACCCATTTAAAAAAGAAACTTATATACATAATCTACTGTTTGATATTGACTCAGTCATCACTGAGCGCAGAATTCATCTGCTTGACTTCACAGGTGAATTACATCAGATTTTCAAATTGTAAATCCTCACAAACACTGATTCAAACTATGAAACTAAACTGCTTTAAGGAATTCCTATTGGTGAAAAAAAAATAACTTTCTCTTTTACAGTAATCCCCACATAGCGATTTAGAAGACATGTCTGAAATAGTTTGTACGTCTCCATTTAGAACCATTGAAAATTCAACTTGGAAGTTGCAATTGTTTGCTTTTGATTATGGCCAACTAAAACAATAATCCCTTCTTGTTACATCCCTGAATAATGTACACATCACTTCTATTATATTCTGTGCTATTATTTAATGCCCTCATGGTATCTATCATAGGCAACTGGAATGTAGGTCTGATTTATAAGTGTCAAAATGTTTTAATCCAACTTGTGGGTATTACGACCTTCCACAATTATTCCTCCTTGTAGTTTTAAAATGTTTATCAGAGTGGTCTAAACCCCAAGAAAGCCCAAATATTTCTATTTACATTACATGCTTACCAAAGACTTACACTATCAAGTTTCATGTATTAATAAGGATAGAAATGTTAAAAGTAAAGTGACTATGTACAATCTTCTGTAGTTTCACAAAGGTGTAAAGATTTGTCTTTAAACACATCCATTTGTCCTGTTTAAGGTTTCAGGCTCTGTATAACTATACTCCTAGGAATGAAGATGAGCTGGAGCTCAGAGAAAGTGACGTCATTGATGTGATGGAGAAGTGTGATGATGGATGGTTTGTGGGTATGTGGACACTGCCTTTCAGATGCCTTTGGCCATTTTATAATTTGCTCGTGTTTGCTCATTTGTGATAATCAACCTTCCTTTGTTTTCATGATGCCTCTGATCCTTCACGCATTACATATGCACCGTGTAATCCCGAGGCAACACTGCATCACATTTTTTAAAGTAGGTTCCACACCTAGTATGGAGCCCAATGCGAGGCTTGAACTCACAACCCCGAGATCAAGACCTGAACTGAGATCAAGAATCGGACGCTTAGCCAATTGCCCTGCATTGCATTTATAATATGGTTTTCTGGTATATGTGATTTTCTGATAGTTTTACTTTCAATTCAACTGAGAGAAGAAAGTTGCTTTGGATAGCACCAACCAGGAAAGGCTGAGATCTAAGAACCATAACAACAGTGTTTCCTAGAGAGAAATACTAACACCCTCTTCGGTGGGCAATGTTAGGTGTCAGCAGTGGGGATCTAATTGGAGAAAACAAGATGAAGTCCACAATTCATCTACTTACTAAGTCTGATGTTAAATAACCCTGAAAGTTCAGTGATTCATCTTCATTTTAATTTTTGGTAGAAGTTGAGAGATGTTCTTACCTTCCTAAAAGAAGAATAGGGGGTACCTGGGTGGCTCAGTTGGTTGAGTGCCTGACTTGATTTCGGCTCAGATCATGATCTCAGGGTCATGAGATCAAGACCCACATTAGGCTCCCTGCTCAGCGGGAGTCTGCTCGTGGAGTCTCTCTCTCCCTCTCTCTTGGCCCCTCCCCCCACTAATGCACACACACTCTCTCTCTCTCTAAAAAAAATAAGGCTTAAAAAAAAATAAGAGTAGAGCTCTGCTGAGAAAACATTTGTAGACAAGATCATATAATGGGGCGCACAGGAAAGAGGGAACAAAGAAATAAAGGCACAGGAGGACAAGAGAAGATAAAATGAAGGAAAGAGAGCTTTCTATAGACAGGCCATCCGTGGGGAAAACGATGAAAGTACGGAGGTCACATCCGCAGCCACAAGCCTCTGCTTCTGTTCATAGAACTCTCCCGTCCCACGTGATCTCCCATGACATAATAAAACTGGAGGGTGACAGTGTCCCCCCGTAATGCCATTAATATTACACCCTGTTGAAGAGGGTGTCAGACTCCCGGCTCACCGAACAGAGCCTTGCTGCTGGGCCATCCTGTCATGCTGCCAGCCTCGACGTCCTCCCGAGAGTGTTCCACTCCTCCCTCTTGTCTGGCTTCCTTGGCGATGGAGCATCGTCCCACTTAATATCATGACATTAAAATCCACCTCCTTGCAGCGTGGTCTTTCCCTTCCGGCTGAGAGGCTGAGCGTTTCTGTTTAACCTGGGTGTGGGTGGGAGGGCAGCCTTCCAGGTGGAGAAACAATGAAGGCATCAGGCAATTCAGATGAAACTGCTCCCTTTGTCTTCCTACCGTGTTCAGGTGAGCGCTTTCTTTTCCAAACGCAAGGTTTGCTTGCTTCATGACGGCTTGTAAGCAAAGAGTGTTCTAGCCCACATATATAAATCGATATTTCATCGTTATTCATTCCATTTATTGCTTCTATTTTCAGGAACCTCAAGAAGAACCAAATTCTTTGGTACTTTTCCCGGAAACTATGTCAAGAGGCTGTGATTCTCTGTCTCCCTACATTTCAAGTCCCATTTCAGCACCACATCTGCAGACCCTTGCCTGAAAGAGCCCCCTCAGCGCCCCCCTCCCCCCGCTACTGTCCTGCCTTCTGGTCTCCTCTAGAAGTCCCCCAGCCCTCCCCACCTCTACCTGCCGCCAAACCACCAGCAAAGGGACTGCCGCTCTCCAGCCCTGGGGAGGCTGGGGGCTTGCTTCTGCGTGAACGTGCGTAGTCCTGATTTCTGCTCTAAAGTTGGAAAAGTCGCTATGCGAGATAAGAGAGAAGATCGTTAGAGTTAGAAAGGGAGAAGTATTTGAGGAAAAAAAAAAAAAAAGAAAGAAATATCTGAAGAATCTCTCTAGTCCACTTTGAAAGGCATTCTCCCCTCAGGCAACCAGAGATTGTTTATTCCTAAATGCTGTGGTTTGTGTTTTCACATTCTTAGCTTGGCAGTGTACTTTCCTTTCACGAGTTTGCCTAGTGTCCTGGTTTACACGACATGAGAAACTGTCCTTCGGCTATTGTTTGCCTGCACTTACAATTGTAATACGCACAGTGATTACAAAACATAAAGCAAGCGTAGGAAAGTCAATTCGGATGAGTGTGATTTTATTGACTGAATGTGAGTTTTCAAATAGGAGTCTTTTCCTGCAGTTTTTTTTTTCTGTACTTTTTAGAAGTGCAAACCGTAAGTGAATAAGAGCCTTTGGTAATAATCATGAGACTATAAGAGGTTTAGCTAGACTACAAAAAAAAAAAAAAACAACAAAAAACAAAAACCTATTGTGTTGTAAAGTTGCATTGCTATTTTATATTAAAATGTAATAATCAGCATCATGAACAATGAGCTCTTAGTGTTTTATTTATCTGGTAAAATTTTAATAAAAGCAGTGTTAGTGAGAGGTGCAAAGAATTATTCTAACGTAGACACTTGAAAGTATCTGTAAGCAATATTCATAGGTAAGTTTTCACTGTGTGCGCACATACACATTTGAGATTGTACGAGAACAGACAATCCGTATGGTGTGTTGTACATTTTATGGAAATGTAAAGGAATCCCACACGTTATTTTATAGAAATAGAGTACTTCAGAAGCATCACAAGTATTATGGCTGGTTTTAGCAAGGATTACGATCAATACAATTATTTTTACTACGATAGTTATTTTTCTTCTACGGAACTCAGAATCCTGGCAACATTTGAGGACAGGAATATGTTGAGCCTGATTTTCCTGGTGTGTGTGAAATAGTTCCTCGGAATCCATGAGGCACTTTCGGAAGCAATGTTAAATCCTTCAGGTTATGTTTTCTGCCCTGAAGTAGAAATTTACAAAATGGCTTTGGGACCTGAAAGATTTAATGTGGCTAACAGTGCCTGAACTACACATACCTTGAGAACTAGCTTTGTATTTCTTATAACTTTGCATAAGAACTATTCATATCTGGATCTTGAGCATTATAGATTAAACATTTTATGGCATTTCTTCTGTGGACAGTGATTGATCTTTTCACAATGTATGTAGACTCCAGAATTTTGTACATACGTTTGCTCCTTTTTTTGTACAGACTATTTAGTTGTCGAGAAAAACAGAAATTTACTAATTTGGTCTTTATCTTTCACTTTACACTAAGCTAAAACACTTTCCAACAGATTATCCTTTACATATCCCACAGATCACAAGCACGCCTTGATTGTGCAATTGTGTAAGATAGAATTTATGCAAAATTATGAACGTAAAAGATCTTAGCAACCAAACTGAAATGTACTGATTACAGAGGAGTTTCATTCGTTAAAAGGTAAAGAAACATCTTCGAGTAGCCTACCTTGATAACTGTCAAGTTTGCAACCAGCTTTATATCTTAAAGGCTTTGGGTTTGAAATTAAGTCAACTGCATGCACCTTTGCTGATAAATGAGTAATTATCCTTGATGCCATTTATGAGAAAAGATTTCAATATCTGTTGCCTGTCATATTTAAGAAAAATTACTGTTTCTACTCTCTGTATCTGATTTTAAAAGAAAAAAAAATGTTCATACCTGGCTTTCAGGTAATTGACTTTGAATTCTTACAAGCGAAGGTCATTGTGTTTTTCTTGAATAGACACCTAATAAATTTTGCTTGGAAGTATACTTCAGTTTTTCTTTTTGACATTTATCCTTAAGAAAATTGTGTAGTTTACCTCAATTTCTTTGACAAACCAAGAGAAAATGCATTTGTTCTATGTTCTCTTGATACACAAATGGAGAAAAGAGGTATATGCATCATCTCAGAGAAGAAATGTTCTTTAAACCTGCCACTAAGACTTGTTTGCTGAATACTCTGGGGCTGAAAATTACTACTCAGCTAAAACAACACATAATATTTATGCCTCAAAAACAGCTATTTTTTCCAAGAAGAAGTTACTTGCAAGAAGTTATAAGCACTGTCTCAATTCAATCACCTTAAATTTTTAAAAATTCTTGCCCTAAAAAGCTTTATCACCACTGGCATGGCAGTCTCTCATAAGACCCACAAGCTTTCGGGGAATTTTAAATTATGTGCTTTACTCTCACACAAATAGCAAATAACTAGCTTTCCTACTTGGATCCTTTTTTCTTTAAAAAAATTTTTTTATTTAAATTTAATTTAGTTAACATATGGTACACAATTAGTTTCAGGGGTAGAATTTAGTTATTCATCATTTGCATGTAACACCCAGTGCTCATTCCATCACGTGCCCTCCTTAATACCCATCACCTAGGTACCCCATCCCCCAACCTCCCCTCCCCTCCATCAACCTTCAGTTTATTTGCTAGAGTTAAGAGTCTCTTATGGTTTGCCTCCCTCTCTGTTTTTGTCATATTTTATTTTTCCTTCCCTTCCCCTGTGTTCCTGTTTTCTTTCTTAAACTCCACATATGAGTGAAACATATGTTATTTGTCTTTCTCTGGCTGACTTTTTTCACTTAGCTCATTACACTCTAGTTCCATCCACATCGTTGCAAGTGGCTAGATTTCATTCTTTTTGACGGCTGAGTAATATTCCATTATACATTTTTTTATATTCCATTACATACTTATATAAATATATTCCATTCCATTATATATAATTCCATTATATCATTCTGTAAATATATATATGTCTATATATATCTATATATTGTGTACACACACACACACACACACACACCCCTCACATCTTCTTTATCATACTTGGATCCTTTGTAACAGACCTTGGACACTTGTGGCTCTATGTGTTTGCCTCCTCCCACATCTTTGTCTCGCATATTCAGAAACCCGTACATTACTCTGTTGGCAATTCAATTCTCAGAAGTGTTTTTGTCACGTTGCTTCTCCTTAATGCCCACCTTGCTCTCTTCTGTTTCAATGGAAAATTTCCACTGTATATTAGCTTTTCACTAACATGTGTTCCCTTTGTGTGAAGAATATGCTCCAGAATATTCTTTTGCACGTGTTTCCATCAGAGCATTTGTGGGTCATTTAACTAGGTAAATCAGAATCCAGTAAGATCAGGATGCTTGTCTGTGTGTACTCAGGTCACTCCCTGTTGCTCTCCACCAGTGCATCTCTTGCCAAATGATCAGCATTCTAAAAATATAAATCTGGGATTTTAAAGGCACATGCATCAAAATCTAGATTTCCTCTTTTCCTTGAGAATTAATACTTTGTGCTTCTCTGTAAAATCTGCTGAGATGCCACGGCAGCTTCACCGAAGCCCTGAGGTCAGAAACCCCTCTCCACATTAGTGGTTCTCCGAGACTTCTATCACAGCCATCCAAGTACTGATGTGAGGTCCGGAGCAGCAGCCGCCACTGTGTGACCCTCCTGCCAGGCTTTCTTATTGTGGATGTCAGCATTCTGGATGGAATATTGAACTATTGTTTGCTTTAGAGTCATTTGATCCTCAGTAACATATCTTACTCGATTTTATGCCAATACACACTCATCAACATACACCACAAATTACTTCCAGCATCTCATTTAGGCTCTGGAAGCCCCCCCAGTAGGTGAAGTAGGATCTGTTGTTGTGAACCCCACATGGCCAGGCCATGGAAAACACTGTCTGCTTCTCTGCCTTTATCTGCTGTGGCTCACATCTGAGCATTAACTGGCCCAGGTCAGTGGAAGAGTAGCAGCAAGGGACCCTCCCGTATGATAGGCCAAATTTTAATCCATCCGGTAACTACACTCTCGCTAAAAGCTAGCATATATATGTCCATTTCTTATTTGACAGAAAGCAAAAAGAACCTGTTTGAGTAACTGTTTCCATGAACTTTCTCTGCCTGATCTCTCTGTGTAGGTGGTCACTTTGTGTGGTCTGAGCATTTCTTCCTACTGTTTTCCAGATTTTAGCCACAAAAGGAGATATTCTTTAAAGAATCACTCAATCAAAAAGACTAAGTACTCTGACAGTTTCCAAAAGCCTGTTTATTTAAAGATTTAATCATTTCATCCTCCTTTCTGGACTGTAGCCTTCTAACTGTTGTTTATGTATCCGTTATGGTTTCAAATTATTTCCTCATCATGAATGACTAGGTCAGAGTACAAGCAGAGACTGGTGTTATGAATGAATGGTCTACACCAGGGATTGGCAACCTAAGTCCTGTGGACCAAATTCAGCTTGCTACCTCTTTTTTTATGGCTTGCAAATTAGGAATAACCGTGGTTATTACCACCTATTTGGTGGTAGGGAACACTAATTTTGAACCCCAATTAAGTGAGATGTTGTCTCCCCAGAAAAAGAATTCCTTTCTTTTTTTTCACTGGTAGATCTATATTATAAAAACTTTACCCTGATACTGTTATATTTTGAATTTTATCAATTAATTGGTAGAAATTTGCTCTTTTTTGTTATGTGAGTATGTGCATAATATCTTCCATTTTGCCTTGTGCCCCACAAAACCTAAATATTTACTATCTCTGTACAGAAAAAGCCTGTGAACCCCTGGTCTATGCCAATTGCCAGCAACAAACGTGAAAACTGACCAGAGGGAAAGGAATGTTGGACATGGGCTGTATTACCAAGCGGTAACTTACATGTGTTCCACTTCTCCTCAGACAAATCTAAAAGGACATCTGCTTTGGGCCCATTTTATAGGTGAGGAAGTTGAGGCTCCAAAAAGTTGATACAAAATATGGGATGGACATTAAATTCAGAATCTGTTTTATCTATCTCCCGAGCCTGTGCTCTTTCTTCTAGATCATCTAAGCATGGGGCTAAATATCCTGTTGATCAAACCATGCACCCATAGTTAAACAGCTACATCCGCTGACCTCCTTCGTCCCCACCATTCTCACAAACTCTTCTATCACGAGCAGCCAGCGACCCATAACAGGCCCTCGTGGTGCACAGGACAACAAGGGAGAGGTATGTGTTTGGTCCAGCATGATAGTGTTTCCCGGAGGAAAGTTAACTTTGGTTTCTAAAAGCACTCAGTGACCAGAGGATGTAACTTTGATTACCAACGTGCTTTAATTGAGCATAAGCCTGTCCATGCCTTGTGATTCATTATGGCCCTAGAGGCGACTGCTTGGAAGCCAGCTGCACGGCGGGTGGAGTTCTGGGAAGGGCTTGGTATTGTTGAGCCGCTTGGGGACAGACAAGCCCGGCATGCTCTAGGAACACAGTGTGCTTACTGGATGTCTTTTCAATAGCCCAAGTCCCAGGGTACACTAGCCATTCTCTACTGGATGACTTGCTAAGCCTTAGCTCACTGCTAAATTCAGCCACTCAGCTCAGGAAAATTCCATCTGAGCTCATCCACATACATATATCTTGACCCAAAAAACTTTCAGTACAAGACAGAAATCTGCCTAGCAAATCTTCACCTGTTCTTTTGGGGTGTCTTGTTTCATCCTTTTCCCTAAAATACGATGGGTGACTCAGTTGGAGTCCCCGTGTCTTCTAAAAATAAGTGCCATTTCAAACAAAACTCCTGCTGCCATGACCACCACCGGTAGACAAGTGTCAAATCTTGCACTGATTCTACAAGAAGCTTGAGAATGACTTCTTAAAGCACTATTTCCTTTAGGCAACAGACAAACTATAGAAAAAACTAGAAAATACAAATGAGCAAAAAGAAGAAACAAAGAATTACTAACAGGCCCATTTAGGGTAAAGATTATACTTTGGGTGGCTCAGTCAGTTAAGCATCTGCCTTTGGCTCAGGTCATGAGCCCAGGGTCTTGGGATCGAGCACCACATCGGGCTCCCTGCTCAGGAGGGAGCCTGCTTCTCCCTCTGCCCCTCCCCTTTCTTGTGCTTTCTCTCTCTCTCTCTCTCTCTCACACACACAAATAAATAAATAAAAATCTTTAAAATCATTTTTTAAAAAAGATTAAGTTTGAAATATATCCCTCCAGAGCGTTTTCTGCACATGCGTATTGGTATACGTGTAGTATCTAGTATGTAGCCGCAAGTGGGATCATATTTGAATGTAAATACTATTTTATAACCTGCACTTAATATTGAGCAGGCCTCTGAAAAAAAAAAATAGAAATCAGGTTTTCAAGTCAATTGGACATGACCAAAGTTTATAAAAAGAGCAAGGAAAAGTCAAAGTCAATCCCCAGGATTTATGAACATGTAATTAATTCGAAACCAAGAGGCAAGAATTACAGAACTACCACTGAGCTAGAAAATCAGTCACAATCTGAGGAATTACTACAAGAAGGAAAGAAAAGAGCAAGAGGGAAAAGAAAATAATATTTATTATCTCCCTACCATAAGCCATCACATGCTTTATGCATTTTTATAGCTAAGGAGTGACTAAAGGAAGAGAGATATTACATTCAGATATACATGAACTTCAGATCACTGGGATACAGCATCCAAACCATCCTGGGGGTTAGCAAAGTGCACAGGTATTTGAATTGTCTCTGTATTTTCCCTACATCTGGCAATACCAGATCCTTTGGGAGAAAGCAGTCCCTCATCCCAAATTTTGGAAGTAAGAAAAAAACACATATGAAAGTATGTATGGGGGCGCCTGGGTGGCTCAGTCGGTTAAGTGGCTGCCTCTGGCTCAGGTCCTGATTCCACGGTCCTGAGATCGAGTCCCACATCGGGCTCCTTGCTCAGCGGGGAGTCAGGTTCTCCCTCTGCCCCTCCCCCTGCTTGTGCTCTCC